CTTGTGTTATCCTGATTGTGCTTCCACAATACTTGATTGTTTCTTTCTGGCTGCTTGTAATATCTTCTCCTTGACCTGGGAACTCTGGAATTTGGCTACAATATTCCTAACAGTTTTCCTTTGGGGATCTCTTTCAGGAGTTGATGGGTGGATTCTTTCAATTTCTATTTTGCCCTCTGGTTCTAAAATATCAGGGCAGTTTTCCTTGATAATTTCTTGAAAGATGACATCTAGGCTCTTTTTTTTTGATCACAGCTTTCAGATAGTCCAATAATTTTTAAGTTCTCTTTCCTGGATCTATTTTCCAGGTCAGTTGTTTTTCCAATGAGATATTTCACATTCTCTTCTATTTTTCCATTCCTTTTGATTAGTGTTACAGTGCCTTGATTTCTCAAATTGTCTGTCTCTTCCAATTTCTCCATTCTAATTTTTAAGGAAGTATTTTCTTCAGTAAGCTTTTGGACTTTCTTTTCCATTTGGCTAACTTTGCTTTTAAGGGCCTTCTTCTCCTCATTGGCTTTTTGGACCTCTTTTGCTATTTGGATTAGGCTATTTTTTAAGGTGTTATTTTCTTCAGTATTTTTTTGGGTCTCCTTTAGCATCACTCTCAGTTTTTCTTCTACTTCTACTTGCTTCTCAAAATCCTTTTTGAGTTCTTCTATGGCCTGGGACTGATTCATATTTTTCTTGGAGGCTTTGGATTTAGGAGCTTTGGCTTTGTTGTCTTCTTCTGGTTGTATGTTTTGATCTTCTTTGTCATCAAAGTAAGATAATATAGTCTGACTCTTTTTGCACTGCTTGTTCATGATCCCAGCCAATTACTTGAGTTGTAAACTCTTTGTTAAGGGAGGAGTCTGTTTCCAGTGTGGAGAATATACTGTCTCAAGCTTCAGGGGTTTTGTGCAGCTGTGTTCAGAAATACTTCTAGGGACCTGTAAATTTTCAGTTCTTCCAAGGTGCTATGATCAAGGGCGAGGTGTTTACTCCTTTCCTGTCCTGTGTTCTGGTCTATGAGTGACCACAAGCATTCTTTTCTGTCTTGGAACCGTGAGGAGGGTTTCCTCTCCACAGCCACTACAAGCTCCACCACACCAGCGTTCCTCCTCACCCTAGGACCACTACCCAGAACTGTGACCTAGATCCAAGCATGGGCAAAGCAAGAGAATCCTACACCAGCAGAGAGATCCCTGCAATCCCCCTTTGATCAGCCACTCGATTCCCCCTCAGTCTGTGGGCTGGAAGCTCAGGAAAAAGCCGTGGCCCCAGGGGGCTGAGACCTAGCTCCTTCTCTCACTGCAGTCACAGACTTTCCCACTGACCTTCTAGGTTGTCTTTGGCGTTCAGGGTTTGAGAAGTCTGGAAACTGCCACAGCTGCCCACACTTCAGTCCTCTGAGGCCTGCTCCAGGGTCGCTGTAGCCTTCGCGCCCATGCCAAATTGCGCTCCACTCCCAGCCCGGCGTGATATGCCTTTCCGATCAACCATTCAGGCTGTCTTGGACTGGAAATTTGTTTCGCTATGTCTTTTTGTGGGTTCTGCTGCTTTAGAATTTGTTTAGAGCCATTTTTTACAGGTATTTGGAGGGGCTTGGGGGAGAACTTAAGCAAGTCACTGCTTTTACTCAGCCATCTTGGCTCCGCCCCCCTCAACCCTTATTTGTCTTGACCTCTTAAACTCAATATGTCCAAAACAGAACTCATTATCCTTCCCTCTAAACCTATTCCCCTTCTTACCTTATGTATTACTGTTGAGGGCGCTGCCATCCTCCCAGTTCATCAGGCTCACAACCTAGGAGTCATCCTTCACTCCTCACCGTCTCTCATCCCCCAAATCCAAGCTGTTGCCAAGACCTGTCAATTTCAGCTTTGTAAAATCTCTCAAATATGCCCTCTTGTCTCCCGACACTGCCAACCCTCTGGTCCAAACCCTCATCACCTACACCTGGACTGCCCAAGTCTCTTCCCACTCCAATCCATCCACCATTCAGCCACCGAAGAGCCATTCTGAAAGTACAGATCTGATCATGTCACCATCCTACCCCTTACTCACTAAACTCCAGTGGCTCCCTATTGCCTCCAGGATCCCATACAAAATGCTATTTGACCCCCAAAGCCTTTCATAATCCTCTCTTACCTTTCCAGTCTTCTTATACTTTACTCCCAAAACATACTCTTAGATCCAATGGTCACCTGGCTATTCCACCAACAAGACACTCCATCTCTTGGCTTTGGACATTTTCTCTGGTTCTTCCCTATGCCTGGAATGCTCTCCCTCTTCCACTCCAACAACTGACTTCTCTGGTATCCTTTAAGTTCCAACTAAAATACTACTTGGGGGCCACCAACAGTTGTCTTAACCTACATCTTGTCACTGGACTCCAGAGGATGGAGTGAGGCTGATGACTTCACACAGCCCTGCCTCACTCAAATCCAATTAACTTGCAAGTCAAGACATCGCCCTCCTGACGTCATTGGTCTTTTTTGAGAATGAAGGACATAAAACAAAATACTGTTTTATGAGAAGCCTTCTTCCCCCCCCCCCCCCACCGGCCCCATTCCAATTCCTTCCCTGTTAATTATTTCCTATTTATCCTGTCTGTAGTGTGCTTTGTACGTATTTGTTGGCATGTTGTCACCCCAGTAGACTGTAAGCTCCTTGGGGCAGGGACTGTCTTTTGCCTCTTTTTGCATCCCCAGCACTTAGAGTACATATAGTAGATGGTTAATGTGTTTATTGATTGATCGATCACAGAATTCCAACTAACATGAAGGAAGTTCTAATGGTTGGGAGTCTCTGGGAGCCCCTTGGGTCTTTGTATTCGTGCATAGCAGACACTTTCTGCCTCAGTCACCTTACCTGTCACCCCACTGAGCACAACTGAATCTAAAGAGACAACCATGAAACCCAAAGTATGGAGGTAGAGCCAAATGTGTTAGCAAAAAGCTCCTTTCCACCCCTATACGAGTGTGTTCTATGGCTGTTAAAACAGTAGATCTTGGGGGCAGCTAGATGGTGAAGTGGATAGAGCACTGGCTCTGGAGTGAGGAGGACCTGAGTTCAAATCCAGCCTCAGACACATAACACTTACTAGCTCTGTGACTCTGGGCAAGTCACTTAACCCCAATTGCCTAAGGAAAAAAAAATGATAGGTCTCTCCCAGTACTAAGCTTTGGTATTTTGTTTCCAGTTCTAGAAGTTTCTATAACACTATGCTAACGAGGTCTGCTCAAGAGCCTTGGGGCAGGAGGGTTTTTAAATGCCAATCCTCATTTTCAAGGCTATAAAGTAAAAAGCCAAAGAGGAGTGTGCCTATCACAGTTCAACAGGCTTTCTTTGATGGGCCAGACCACTTCCCTTAGTGAGAGCAAGCTGGGTTTCCACATCCCTCCCCATGTTTCAGAAAATTACCTTTTAGGCTTGACTTGGTTCAGATTACTAATTTTCCTCAGCAATAGTAGGGTGGTCATGTTCTGGCCCCCTGATTTACAGAGGAATGGCGCCACCTGCTGGTTTCCTCTAAGAATAACAAAGGCAATGAGAAGATCCCATCTTTCTTCCATCTATCGCCACTGGTGTCTGGCATTAGAGCAGTTTTGCCTAATGCTGAACCTGGAGGGCAGCGGAGAAAGCGAGCCTCACACTGACCCAGGGTACCATGAGAAAGGCCAGTAGGGTGAAGATTTGCATACACCTTGCAGGGCTAATTTGTGGGAATGGCTGGAAGGTCATTTCAACCTAGGACTATTACAATCAGCAGGCTGGGTTGAACACAGGATGGACAATGATTCTGATTACAGTTAATTTATCTTTTCTGAAAGGAGGTCACATCCTTTGCCTGAGGATTTTACATTCCCAAAATACTGGGCCTAATTTTGTTCTTTCTCCACCAATCAATAAATACATGTATAAGTCACTGAAATGCCCAGGTACAATGTCTAAGGCTCTTTCAAGCCAAAACAGGAACCAGGATTTAGATCATGGAATAATTTTTAAAGCTAGGAAGAAGCTTGGAGATTCAGTCCACTCCTGGCATTCTACAGTGAGGGCACTGAGGTCTATATCGAGGGGAAGATAACTTACCCAAGGACACAAAACTGGTGAGCAGCAGTGCTGGGCATCCTTAGGGGATTCAGCGCCCTTCTGTTATAACCTCCACTACATAGGGCAAAAACCAAGAGATTCTCAGCAGAACAGGCCCTTCACAGAAGCAGCTCCAAAGCCAGCTCTGGAGAAAGATCAAGTGATTGGTTTTTCGTTGTTGTTGTTTCCATCTCGCCACCACTATGTGGAAAACCATTCACAACTTTTTCTTTACCTCAATTTCAAACTTTTCACTTTCCTTCCTCAAGACTTCAAAAAAACCCCACCATTTTGAGTGGGTCCTTCCACGATCAATGCAGATTGTAAATTTCTAATATTTTAGCTGGCAGTTTCAAGTTTCTACGGTAAAAATACAAGTAAGAACTTCCCTGGAGGCCAACCTTTTACTCCCGAGCCTCTCTGAAGGTAGTTGGTTTCATCCTTGGCCAACAGTGTTATTGGGTCTGTATGCTTTCCCAACTTCACAGGAGTTTCCAGAGCCTGGGGCCCACTGGCATAGCCAATAACAACTAGTATTTACACAATGCTTCAAAGCACTCTGACATATCACCAGATCCTTACAACCACCTTGTCAATCAGGAATGTTTATCCCCATTGTACAGAGGAGGATATTGAGCCCCAGAGAGGGATTCAGTTCCTTGCCCATGGTCACACACAAGTGACAGAAGGCAGGATTCAAACCAAAGACATCTCCTGACTCCAAGTCTCAACACTCCTGCTCCACTTCTCTAAGAGCCCGGAGAGGGGAAATGGGGGGACACCTTCAGGATGAGGCATCAGGCCAGTATGGTTACAGTAGTTCTTCTCATATATAGCAATAACATGGAATTGTCATGTATATGCATACCTGGAGGACAAGAATGATTCCTGCTACATACAAAGAACATTCCACAACATGCTAGCGCTAATTAAATGCCTGTTTATTCATAAAGAAACATTATGATAGGTGAACAGACCAGAAAATCTTAATTGAAATACAACTCTATATAAACACAGTGTACAATGTTCAGTTAACCCAGCCTTGGTGGAGGACAGGGGCCCATCCTGTGTGAGTAGCAGCTGCCCACCATTAGTGCCCCACAAAAGGATTCCAATTTGCTGAAGTGCCTTGTGTTTTCAGGACACAGCTGGGCTTTAGTGCTCTGCACAGACACAATGGGTTACAATACTTTACAATAGTTACAATGGCATTTTATATAGACCAAGGGTTTAGTTAAAGCATGAATTGTGCTCCGAGAACAATGTTCACTGAAATATATCTATAGAAAGCTTTTTTATTCCTGCTATGGAGAGAGGCATGGCTATGAGGAGGAAGGTGTATGGAGACTCAAGACTGAAATGGAGTTTCTGTGCTGGCCACCTCCCCCATGTGTGTGTAAGGCACTAGAAAATGGCGACGAGAGCCCAAGCTTTCTGCGCTCTCACTCTTGTCTGCAGAGGAAACACTGGCCGGTTCTTGTAACAGCGTCAGCCCTGTCCCTAGGAGACAGGAGAAGGCTGAAGAATAAAATGCAGATACATCCACAGAGGATAAGCAAAGTTGTCCAAGGAGTGTCTCATTTTGCCCAATGTGACAGACTACACCAAGGGTATCTCTGGTGCTCGATAGAGAAAAAGCCGGCAAAGACCGACTAAAAGGCTCAGTCCTCTTGGAAAGCTCCTCAGAGGAAGCAAAGCATTCATGAAAGGAGTCCAGTGATTTTAGCACCTTAAACCAAGAGCCCAAAGTGGAGATGGCTGGGGTTCTGAAGACACAGAGCAAGTTCATTATTGACCAAGCTTTGTAACAGGATGGACAGCACAATTCAAAACTCATTTTATCCCGTTTTTGTGGCAGGGGTAGACGATGGGTGAGGGGCAGCTTTGTTTACTCTAAAGCCATCTGACAGAACACATACTAGAGGGTGCTTTCCTGCCTAGGGGAGTCTCCCTATCATGACACTAACATCGAGAGGCAGTCGTCTGAACTGCAGAAGCCCTTTCTATATACAAAGCACTAGCCATCATCAACAGAATTTGTACCTCGGATCTCTCAGGAGCCTCTCTGTAGACCATCGTGGGGAAAGAGGCAGCCCATGAGAGATCAAAACTCTACACGTGCCTGCCTTACTACTGAGAAAACCTATCTAGTTCTGCTGGGCTGGAGAGTTGTACTCTCCACGCTGGGGGAGGAGTGGAGATGGTACCAAGAGGATACTGCTGATGGATTCACCTTTAACTGTCATGCCATTTAGGGGAACTGCCAATGTCCTTAAGTCTGATGGTCCAGGAGGACAGCCACCCTCCCAAGTCCAGCATAACCAACTGTCTCACGTAAGTATTCAGAAAGCTCCAGTTACAAACCTTCATTCTCTGCTGCCTGGGGTTAATGTGACCACACAAAGGTCAAGGGTATTTCTCTTTTTGAAACAAGATGGGACAAGTAAAGCAACAGCATCTGGGGGCTACAAAATTTAAACAAATTGTTGTTTCTACAGGGTCTTAATTTTGTCATCATATTGTATTTGTTGCCAACAATCTGGGATACTGAGAACAGCTGGACTGTCCAGGAAAGACGAAGCAACTTGTTTTCCTTAAACCCTGCCCATCTTCCCTCAAGAGACTGATTTACTGAAGCAAGCAATATTCAATCCTATGATTGTGATTAGTCATTAAAATAATAAAATTAGTCATTAAAATTAACTATTAATCACATTGAAGTATTTTATCTTTTCAAAGCTTTCTGCACTACTAAGTAATCCTATTCCTTGACCTCAGTGCCTCTTAACACAGTGGGAGGAATGTGCCAAGGGAACCTAATATCCTCTGGCTGGAGTTCAAATTCCCAAAGCCAAATGACTTTCACCACAACCAGAAAGCAGATCCAAAAGCACAGACACAAACAGAAGGAAAATATTCATCAGCTGTTTTCTAGGGAGGCTCACAGAAGACATGCAACACTGAGTGTTCCCATGAGACCAAAATGTTTTCGGTACTTAAGACCAAAACAAAAGAGAACAATATAGGTGTATTTGCAAGAAGGAAGATTCAAAAGAATGACACAACATTCCAAATGGAAGGATAACCTCAGAAAGCATTGGCTGAATTGAATGTTGTTGCTGCACTGAAATCCCTCCTCCACAGGAAGTACAAACACCCCTCAAATGCCCAAGACAGGAACGATCTGACCAGATGGCTGAGATGAGATCATGTTGGATTGTTACACATGCCCTGGGAGAGGAAAAAACATTACTCAACATGAGACATTAAAAGTGCTCTCTGCTTTGGCCATCTCAAGCTTTTGAGATCTTTAATAGGATAATTTACGCAAGGCCTTTTTATCCCAAAGCAGCTAACTTGTTCTAAAAATGGATGGATCAAACTGGCTACTCCTTGCCCTGAATCTGCTCCAAGGGAAACCTGAACCCAAAGTGAACAAACCTTTCAGATCTCACTCCCTAAGAAGACTTTTCTATATCCAGACAAAGAGAAAACCCCAAATTATTGAAGAATAATGTTGTTTTGGTCCTCAGAAGCTCCAGGCCTCTTTTCAGATGTGATGCCAACTAACTGCGGTCTGAGCCTCCCCTCCAAATGAAAAGAAGTGGTTTGATATTAGAGACAAACACACCAGGCAAAAGGATTGGAAGGGTCCTTGCTGGCCCATGCTGGTTTCTTGCCTCCTTGGATTTTCTTATCTGTGAGAAGGGAATACTTCTTCCTGCCCAGGGATCTAAGGGGGAATAGTAACTAAAAAACAGGAAAGCCAAGTATCCTTTTTTGGCAGATAAGTTTCTAGCTGAATGCTTCTGGGACTACACGGCTGCCTCTCTTCCTATTTCTCTTTCTAAGTAGTGATTCGATGTCGTAATGCAACTGCTAGGCTTTATCTGCCTCTGCTGGGAAGGGGGGAGGGGTGAGGTGGAGAGAAAAGGGAGCCTCTCTTAGGGGAAAGACACACCTGTGCATACAACCCCAGAAGTCCAAATTTCTATTTACAGAGGAAGAACTTGGATTAGTACAAAATCCTCAAATAGTAGAAGCAGCCCATCCATATCCAGTGGTACCATCTTCAAGACCAAACAACACCCACTCTGCCCGGCCTTTGCAATATCTCTCCAGAAAACCTCCTCTGCCCATGTCTGTTCCGCCACCTTCCTCCCAACTCCCAAACTCTGGTCTATGTTGCTTTGTTCTTTGGCTGGGAGACACTTCTCCTCATTTTCCCCAGCCTTGATTCAGCTAAGGGCACTACACGGAATGCTAAGCATAGCAGAAATCTCAAGGCTTGGACTCAAGACAAAACACGCAAGACGTAAAAAGAGCCTAAATAAAAGAGCTGTCAAGGAGACTGGACCCCACTCAGCAAAGCTGACAAGAAAGGCAGACTTCTTCAGAAGGCTGCTGGCAAGTTATCTAAATCACAAATTAGTTTCACCTTCAGGTCTAATATTAGCCACATTTTCCCTCTTTTACAAATGAACAAGGGCCCAAGGAAAAAAAAAAAGAGCCGGCCTAAGTCCAGAACTGTAAGTTATTAAAGAGGGGTGACCTAGACAGATTAGTGGGCAAATAACAGTGCAACAACCCACAAGTTAAGGAAAATAAGGAAAAGGAGAAATTCCAAAGGCAAGCCAACCCCAATTTTCTCAAGTTCTGAAAGACCTTGGATCTACTGGAGACAGGGTGGGGGAGGAGACCTCACTCGTGGGGGCAGCATAGCTTTTTAAGTTCATGAATAATCTGTACTCCCTCTCTGTTCCGTGGTTTTAGCAGTTTGAACTACAAAAAAAAAAAAAAAGTCAAGGGGCTGAAGCTCATAGCAATTTGTAGCATCTGGGAGCTTCACTGCCAGGTCAAAAAACCAAGAAATGCTCCACTCAAAACAAAGGGCAAAGTCCCTTTTTTTCCTTAGGACATTTGTCTCTACAGAAAACAAAGCAAACCAGAAAACCAAAACTAATTTTCCATCTCAGTGGGTAAGGACAAGTAGAAATAAGAAAACTGCACGAGTAATGGAGTAATTTCCTAGAGGGAGGAGAGGATGGGAAGCCAGGCCCAAGGCCCACATGAACTGAGTTACTGGAGAGAAAGCCTCCCTCTTCGATGGAGCTGAGTGGATCAAACACATGGCTATTACTCAGCATGGCTGGCAAGGTGTACCTACTGGACCCATACATTCCAGATGGTTTTCTCTCAAAGGATCAGAAGCTTATATGCCTTTTACAGATAGGCCAAGTAAGGCTGAACTAGTTAAAAAGAAAGTGCAGGACACCTGGAGAAAAGAAAACCAAGAAGGGGGGATTAGACTTTTGAGAGAAAGAAAAACAGTATCATTTACATTTATCATTGACGGGGATGTCCTCTGAGCGATGCATCACTCTGATGCTCACCTAAAGAAGAGAAACCTGACAAGGGAGCAGAAAGTAACAGGCAGGGTTTTCCTAGCTGGGCAATCCAATGATCAAACAGCTTACTGCTCTTTAAGAGCAACCGTTTAAGACAGCCCAAAGACCAAGCTGGAGACGGCCTCTGTCTGACACCACTCCGATAAAACCCTTGCCCAGTCTCACACCAATGAGGTAGCTAATCGTTCTATTGCTCAGTGTGTCACTGCACCAAACCCCTCTGCACAATGTACATGAGGAAAATGTAAATTAGAGTATCCCCAATGAACTAAGAGGAGCACCTCCTCAAGCCACTGTCTGGATGCAGCCCTAATGGGTATGATATCTGGCCAATCTACTGAAAGTGGTATGTAGAATGCCCAAGCAGAAAGAGAATAGATAACTCTTAAGTAGAGGCCAGCAAATACCAGCTGCTCTCGATCGTGGGTGGCATGGATAGAGCAAAGTACTTGGAATCAGACTGCTGCCCTTCAAAGGGCAGTTACAATGGTGCAACTATTTCTGCTGAATGTTCAGCCTGTCAAGTGTACCACGTGCCATCTGCCAACATGGGGGGGGGAGATTGGAAGGAAGAAAAGAAGGTACTGAATGGGGTACTTAAAGAAGGAAAAATGAAAAAAAATCTCAAAGCAAAAAAATGTTAACGTAGGCTAAGTTTCAAACAGTCTCAAGGTTTTGAAAATAACCTTCATAGTTAAGAAATAGAGAAAGAATAGGAAACAACGTAGGAAGGAGGGAGCAGCTGGCAAGATGATCCTAGTGGGAAGTCCTAGTGTGAGGAGGGAGGTGGCAGGCTTCCCTACCAGTGTTACTTTCCCTGGAAGTCACTCATTTCTATCTCGTCCTTTCGTCGTTTGTAAGTAAAGAGGGAGCTGAATGGATAAAGTTTGGCCTTGGCCTGGAAGCGTTGTCCCGCAATGTCAATTTCATATTCCCCTCGGTTAATGAAATCAGGGGTCACCACTAGTTGCTCCCCCGTCTCCTGATTAAAATTGTGCACAAAGCCAAGGCAGACATGGCGCTCCAGAGTATAGCTGTAGGCACTGCTGGTGGTCATGCCAACATATTGCCCATTCCGATAAATGGGCTCTCCCCACCAGGGCCAGAGGTCCAGGTCTGTGTCATGGTCTTCAAGGATGAACATAGTAAAGCGTTTGTAGACTCCATTCTGCCTTTGCTGCAACAGAGCATCCCGACCAATAAAATCCATTCCCTGGAAAAGAAAAAATATAGGACTAAGTGTGTAGGCCATGATCTTGAGAAACAGCACTAAGGGAAGAGCCCTTGATCTCAATGCATTACAGTGCCATCCTCTAACCTTTTTTGGTGATGCCTTTATGCTTATAGAAGAGGTAAAGCACAATGCCTTACGTGAGCCACATTCACAATGTTAAGAGTATTCCAAAGAGCATCTTTTTAACAGGAGAAATAAAATACTTCTTAAAATATTTTAAAAAGAATTCAATCATAAGACAAAATAGCATTAAATTAAAAAAAAAAAAACAGCTCCCAAAACATCTGCTGGAACAACAGGCAGCTAAGTGTGGAACAAATGTTAGTATGACAATGCAAATCCCATAATTTTCACAGCATTCGGAAAAGCAGTCAATCTAAAAGGTTTCACAAGTACGGCATTAGAACAGGAACTTTCTAGACACTTTGTATTTTCAAATAACAATTTTTTATGCTGTGGATAAAATTTTCCAGTCCAAGGACACCCTGTTCATAATTATCTACCCATTGCTACACTCTGGAATTTCTTGAGTGTTTTCTTCTATGAGCACTCTCCTTCCTAATCTGATCAGCATCATCATTCAGGTACCTGGAATCGGTCATATACAGTACCTTATCCAATTTCACTCGAAATTCTCGTCCACACTCCAGGGGTGTTGTGAAAGTGTTCAAGTCCTGACCCCAAAAGGCAAAAAATTTCTCAATACGAAGACTTCGGAGAGCATAATAGCCAGCATTTCGGATTCCATATTTTTGCCCAACACTCATCAGCTCATTGTACACATGCAGGGCATACTATAAAGAGAAAGAAATGGAGTTTACTGTTGCATTTTAGGGAATCAAGATTGATGAGTAAATGAGACAAGGACATATGGCTTACAAGTCCTCTCTCTTGCTCAAATACATAGCTGACAGTCCCCCTTTACTTCTTTTGCCCCCTCCAAACTACTAGATAGTGTTATGCCAACGCCTTTAATAAATACTTGTTAAACAAATACACTTAACAGTTTAAAGACAGAATGTCTATCACTTGTTACTTACAAAGGGGTCCACTTGCTCATTCATACAGCTGTCCTCCTATCTGGGCTTACTCTAATTCTCACCGCTTCTCCAGTCACTCCTCACATCTCTCAGATCTCTCCCCTACACTCTGCTTCTTCCGATAAAAGGAGCGGCGTTCTGAACAACTCTAGGTCTGTGTAATAGCTTCTAGTCTCAAACAGACACCAACAATCATAAACTCTGGGAGCATGGAGTAACCAAAAGAAAAACTACCAAGCCAATCTCTATTTTCTTCATCCCTAAATTTAAAAAGATACTTTCAGTGAACATAAAAGTTTTCAGTTTAAAAGGTGAATAAGTTACTCTTGGCTTTGCCCTGAGGCCCCACTGTCATGATTGGCACCTTCAGGAAAAGTCCTAGGCATGCTTCATTTAAGGCCTCCCTCTCGGGCTTCTTCCTCCTCCTCTTCATTACTGACCACTCTGCCTCCGGCAAATACCCTTTTCTCACTCCCCTCCCTAAATTCAGGAACCAGGATCAAATGCCTTGGTTCCTGGATGAAGGATATCCATCTGCTTCCCAAGGTCCCACTCACCATCCCAGTTACCACCCAGACCAAAGAGTCCTCCCAAGCCACTGTTCCCCTCTGGCTAGAGTGGAACTGGAATTCAGTTCATCGGAATTTAGTTCCTTCAGGGCAGGGATTGTTTGTGCTTTTTGTATTTATACCCCTCGATCAGTAGTCCTGGCAGACAGGAAATGCTTTTTTCACATTAATTCATTTAAAATTTGGCTTCAGAAACTGTTACTCAGTAACTAATTTAAATATACACAGGTGTCTCTGAACTAGAAACGAAGTTAGGATACTAGATGTTAATTAAGAAAATCAATATGACTGCACAGGAGGTTATGCCTTTTTTTTTTGCATGAGAAGCTGAACACAGAAGCAGCATCACTAGCACTGCCCCTGCACACATGACCCCATACCGAGAATGAAGATGCAGGCTGCAAGTAAGTGGCTCACCTCGTTTTTTTAAAACTTTGTCTTAGATTCAGCCTCCAGCAATTAGAGTCACCAGCCACACGGGCGGCCTGTTGGAGTCATCTGAATCAATCACCAATAACACGAGAAGCTCGCGTAACTCTCTTACCTCTATAGGGATATAGAGCATGAATCCAGGCTCTCCTGTGTGCGTCATGCTCATCACTCTGATTCCATTTGCATAACCCACACTCATCTCCTGTAGAAACCAAGGCAGAAGTTAGAAACGGATTATTATGGCAAGCACTTAGACCACTCATTAACTCTAAGCCCTCTGGTCTGACCCTGAGAAGTACACACTACTTCATCTTGGGGCTCCCCCTATCTAGTCTGCTGGAACCACACAAGAACAAATCTCTTTAAACTTGTGCTCATCAGGAACATCACCAGATCAATTTAATCCAACAAATGTTTGTCAAGTGCCTACACTGTTACTATCCTGAATCATCTTTCTTCTAGGCACTGTCTTTGGTTGAAAGACAGAAATGACAGTCCTTGCTCTAAAGACTCACGTTCTATTTGATAGTAGTTGGGAGGAAATACATATACACATGTAAGTAAATACAAAATAATTATTGTCTAAAATTATATATATATATTGGGAACACCAGGGAAGGTTTCAAATACAAACAGAACCTGAGCTAAGCCTTGTTGGGAAACATGTATTTCAGGCATGGGGAAGGTAGAGGGCATGCCAAGTGCAGGAAAGATCTAGGAGACCAGTTTGGCTAGAAGAGAGTGCTTGAAAGGGGGAATTTCCAAAGCAAGTCTGCCAAGTTAGGTAGGACCTAGATCATGATCAGCTGAAGAGTATGTCTCTTCTCCTCGAGGCCACATAGAGCCACTAAACCTTTGTGAGCTGGGGAGTGACGTGGTTCGACTTGTGAGGAGATTGAGGAAGACGACTTTGGTAGCTCTGTGGAATATAAACTAGAGAGAAAAGGAGATGCCAAGAAAGGAGTCCCATCAGGCTATTGAATTAGACCAAGTGAAAGGAGATGAGGCATGAAGTAGGCAGCCGCCATGGGAGTGCAGACTAAACAGATGTTACACAGAGAGGACTGATAAGACTTGGCAAAAAACCGGATACTGCCAGTGAAGGAAAAGAAAGTCAAAGGTGATTCTAAGGTTACAAACCCGATGATGGGAACAAAGGTGCGGCCTTCAAAAGAAGTAAGGCTGTCACTGGTTGTTAGAGAAGGGAGGGGTTTTTTGAGGAAAATATAATGAGTTGTTCTGGATATGTTAAATCTGAGATGCCTATGGGACCCTTTCAGGTAGAGATGTCCATCAGACCATTGGTAATGTGGAGAAAGATTAGACCTTAGATATATAGACTCGGGAGAGTCTTTTGTGTATTCTACTGGCAAATTAGTTTCTTTTCTTTTTCTTTTTTTTTTGGTGAGGCAATCAGGGTTAAATGACTTGCCCAGGGTCACACAGCTAGTTAAGTATCAAGCATCTGAGGCTGAATGTGAACTCAGGTCCTCCTGACTCCATGGCTGATGCTCTATCCGCTGTGCCACCTAGCTGCCCCTCAAATTATTTTCTAAAAGGATGGCAAGCATTTAGCATTAATGACTCAGGCGTGTTATGAAATATTAAGAAATAATACTTTGATGGGACTGAAGTCTCTAAGCTTTGATCTCACCCGAATGGAAAATCTAATTAGTCATCCTTGAATAGAAGACTTCATCTGAGAGGGAGGTCAATCTCTTTAAACTAAGACTAGTTTTGTTTACCCTTGACCAAATTAAAAAGAATAGCTAAGAAGGAAGTTATTGGCTTTGGGCAGATATTTCACCAATGATATAAAGACATTATTCTTTTTTTGTTTAAGCAAACCAAACGTTCCCAAGCTAAATTATGTGCTTTTTTTTCACCCTGATGGGGAAGTCTGTCTTTAGTTACAGAATAACTATAAAATGCAAGTGGACACAGCTGGGGTTAGAGAAAATTCTAATGATCTCTGCCAGTTTTGACCTTTCTCCAAGCAGAAATGATCTCCTGACATGCAGGCTTTCCTTCTATACCTTTGTAACATCACCAATCCATCATCTAGTGTCTGCTTGAAGATCTCCAAGGAAGGCTAAAGTCACTACATCCCAAAACAATGTTTTCTTTGTGGAGAGTTCTCTAATTGTAAGCAAGTTTTTCCTTGAATTGACATAAAATTTATCTAGTAACTTCTACTCACTGCTCCTTGTTCTGCTCTCTGGGGCCAAAGAGAAAAAGTCTGATCCCTCCTCTACTGCTGAATACTTGAGGGCACCTATGGTATCCTTTTCCCCAAATCTCTTCTATGCTAAATCCTCTTAGCTAATTCAACCAATCCTTCAATGGTAGTGTCTAGTCTCCCTACCAGCCTAGTTGTCCTCCTCTGAAGGGCACTTTCAAGTTTGTCAATGTCCTTTCTGAATAATGATACGACTAGCAGAGCATCCAGGTTGCGTTCTGACCAGGGCAGAGTGGGATGGGACCACCTTCTCTCTCATTCTCGATGCTCCACTTCTCAAGGCGGCCAACAACCTCATTTGCATTTCTGGCTGCCTTGATGCATTTCTAATGGCACCATCTCGTTTATAACCTGCTGACTTTCTGGGACACCGAGACCAGTGGTCGCTGGGAGAACATCTTATCAAGGGATACCTCTTTCTTTGGTTAGAGAGAGAGCAGTAAACAAAAACTAGATTCACTTCATAAAAACGACAGGAGCCAAAGAGGACTCCTCTGTGCTCCAAGTTCTTTACAAGACAGGATGGCTTTTCTGACAGATCCGAGACCTATGCTCCACAAAGGAGGTACTGTAGACACTCAGATTAGCTTGCTACCATAGCATTAGAGACCTGGCTCCTAGCTTTTTAACAGTGTTTACAGAAGCTAAAGAACTCTAACTGATTCCCAGAACTCTGCCAACTATTTCATCAGATGCAGTTAAGTTATTGCTCCTATTAAGAAAGTGGTAAACCCCAGAAGACTGAAAGCAAACAGCTTCCCTAAGAAAATGAACATAAATGTTTTCTCTATCTATAGGAAGCCTAGCTGGTCCCTTCTTCCAATAAAGCAGTTATGAAGTAGTCTATTTATTACTAATAGTAAACAATTTCCAACTGCATTTGCCTGAAAGTTGAGACAAAGGACACGGGTGGAAAATTCAGAAATGGTTTTCAATTCTGAGTTGAAAGTCATATAATCCCCCTCAGAAATGGACTTTCAAATTATTTCACAACTCCATATTTCACAGGTCTGTCAATTTCAAACCTTTTTAGAGTACTTTCAATATATCTGCTGCTAAAAAAGCAGAATATACATGTAATCAAAGGATACAAAGTGACCAATTAAAAGTCACACTATCTCGGCAGGTGATGAAACATCACCTTGGACTCACCCACTCATTATGGCTGCAAGAGCACTATATATATTTGCTGAGTCTTCATAGAAGAACGGCAGTATTCATCTGTCAACACTTTGACAGGTGACTTGGGAAAACATGACAGCAATCACAGCCCCACATAACTGAGACAGAAGAGGCTTGATGAAGCACTCAAGTATCAGACCAAGGCAGAGCAGGCAGGAGAGACTTCGCTAACTGTGAATTTAAGCGAGCTTCAAGATAAAGAAAACTCAAACTGACCCTCTGAAGAGAAGGGCATGTTTTTGAAGTGACCTGGTAATGAACCAACAGCACAACAAGTGTTATGAATCATTTGCAAACAGACAAAGCTGTAGTGGCTTCATTTGAAAAGATTGTTAAGAGGCTACCGCCAAGGAGACTTCGACTAAAATTCAGAATGGGTAAGAGGTGGGGAAGACAAGAAAAAAAAATCACTAGGCTTTTAAAAAACATTAGTTTTAGAAGACTTTTTTTTGGAGTAGTGGCACTTTTGCTGTTTAATTGTTTTTCGGTCATGCCCAATTCTCCTTGACCTCTTTTGGGGTTTTCTTCGCAGAGGTACAGGAGTGGCTTGCCATTTCCTTCTCCAGCTCATTTGACAAATGAGGAACTCAGGCAAACAGGGTTAAGTGACTTGCCCAGGATCACACTGCTAGTAAGTGTCTGAGGGTGACCCTGAACTCGGGTCTTCCTGACTCCAGACCCAGTTCTACCCACTGTGCCACCTGGCTGCCCTTCTTTTACATACCTAAGGTCTAATTCTAGACATTCAGAGAATGATCAGTGGTAACAGGGTTTTTAAAAATATCTTTGCATTTCTATTTGGAAGCACATTCAAATATTGGTAAATTCCTATGGTCTCTGTCAAAGGGCAAATCACCATATTTAAGAAGTTCCTGGCGCAGTGGATAGAGCACTGACCCTGAAGTCAGAAGTACCTGAGTTCAAATCCAGCCTCAGACCAAACACTTGACACTTACTAGCTGTGTGACCCTGGATAGGTCACTTAACCCCAACTGCCTAAAAAAATAAAAAAATAAATTAAAAAAAAAAGGTCTTTTCTGACCACAAAGTTCAGTCCTCCATTCCTAGTAAGATGCCCAGTGTCAGTTGGACCTGTGCCTCAAGCCCCACCTCACCCCACCTCTGTGATCACTAGGTATCCAGGCATACAGAGCCAGAGCCCACCCAATGCTGTTAGTCTACTATTCCCTAAATGGGTAGGCACTGGCAAAGACCCACTCTGCAGAAGTCACTGGATCATTGGTACGGGGCTCTCCCAAGCTCACAGCCACACCCTTTCAAGATGCTTTTGAGGGGAAAGGCCCCACAAATGGTAGTGGCATTATACTTGTATTAAAAGTGTGTATTTAATTCTAGAAACACTGCGGCTGGGATTTAAAAAATTCTACAAGAACTATCAGGGCAGCTAGGTGGTGCAGTGGATAGAGCACCATCCCTGGAGTCAGGAGGACCTGAGTTCAAATCCAGCCTCAGACACATAACACTAGCTGTGTGACTCTGGGCAAGTCACTCAACCCCAACTGCCTCACCAAAAAAAAAAAAACAAAATAAGAACTATCAATTATTTTAAATTGATCAAGATGAAAACAAAAAAACTATAAACACCAGTGGTATTTCTAGGGGACACCCAAAATATGCAAACTTTTTTCCTTTTTCTTTAAGACAAATAACTTCTAACCTGAGAAGCAGATACTCTCTACATCAAGTTTATACTATACTGGCTGTGAAAACAGGAAGCGGTACAAGGGAAAAACATATCTTGGAAAACATAATTTTCTAAGGCCCATAATCTTAGAGGTGGAAAATAAATTAAATCCACTGCTGTGGGAACTAGTTAATGCTGTACTAACATTCAGATATTTGAGTATATTTTTAAAAAAACAATTCCATTGATGACTGAACAAGGATAATCTGAAGGGGAGAGGGAGAAAAAGTTACTCATTATATTCCTTATTCGCTCAAAGTCAAAACCATCTTTGTGTCTACAATCTCACATGAGAAACAGGTACCCAAAGCTCAAAACAATTTGATACATAAATCTAGAAACAAAAGTACACAGTTACCCACCTTGCAAAAGAGGGATGGAAAATGGTCTGGAGTCATAGGGGCATAAGATAATTCAGAGAGAACATCCATAGCACGGGGGCCAATCAGATTGAGAGCTAAATAGAAAAGAAGAGATGTTTGGCCTTTGGAAATGTCAAAGGTTTATTCTGGATTCATTTCACCTATAGTCACACCTACACAGGGAGGCCCAAGGAAGTCCAAGATGGCTAGGTATTCCAAAGACTGAATCACAACATCCTAATTTTGGCATTCATAATAACAAGACCAGTTTACTAACATTTTGTAACTATTATGTAAATCTTATTAGGATTAAAGAGTTATAGAAAGCTATTCGATTTATCTTCATGCTTCAGGAAAACTTTCCATATAGAAATGGAAAAGCATGACCAAACGTTCTACAACAGCAATTACCAATGGGGTTTTGTCAATATTGTTAATGAGAAGTTTACTAGCGTCAATGTGGGCGAGATAGAATGGTGGTCAATGCTAGTAGAGTAAAGGATTGTTCACTTATCTGATGACACTTAAGGGAACTGGGAAACATACATGCATCAATCACTTAATAAGCATTTATCAAGTGCCTAATATGTATCAAGCCCAGGGTATACAAAATACAGAGAATGGAACAATCTCTACTCTTAAGGGGCTTCCATTCTACATGACGGCATCATGTGGGTACCTGGTAATAGTACTTCCCAGAGCCACCATTTTGCTATAGGTACACATAGTTAATATTATATTGGACAATTCTTCTTTATCAAATTTAGAAACATAAACAGTAAGAGAAAAAGCTGTTTATAGTTCTGACTAGTACCCAGACACAAAATACTTTCATTTGCATTTCTTAAGGGTGTTAACACTGTGCCCAGACTGACAGCTTTGAGATCAATGCAGAAGCAACCCCAACCTCCCCAGAACAGTTTTGCTACCACATGGAAGAGCCTTCCTCATAACAGAATGATTATCCTGAGAACTTTAGTAATGAAAATGCACAAAAGAAAGAAAAAGTTAAAGGTGTCTGGGCCTTCAGGTGATCGTGCTTCTTCCTACGGTGTGTGGGCATCCCCCTCTCCCAGTCAGAGTCTTCTTGCAGGATACCCCCCAAGACTCTTCATAAGCTTCCAAACAACCCTTCAATTAATATGAAAAGCTGAGTATGCCTGGCAATATACCAATCAGGTGGGCGAGGTGGGAACAGAACCTGAAAATAACCGGGCATACTCTTTTCAGAAGCTGAATGATTGAATCATCTCAAGCCTTCATTTACAGACCACAGCAAAAAAAGTATAAAAGGCTAGTTCCCCATGGCCAGAAAACCCATTAGGCTGATTTCAATCTTCTGCAATGATTTAGAGTCAGCTGGTGGCCCAGAACACTAGACTTGGAGTCAGGAAAACCTGAGTCCCAATCCAGCTTCAGACACTTATCAGCTGTGTGACCCTGGGCAAGTCACTTGACTTCTGTCTGCCCCAGTTTCTTCATTTGTAAGACAGGGATATTAATAGCACCTACCTCCCCAGAGTTGTTGGAGGACCAACTGAGATACCATTTGTAATGTGCTCTGCAAATCTCAACAGGCTACATAAATGCTAGTTATTGTTGATGTTGTTATTAAAGCCAGAACCTACACTATATGGGAGGGAGCTCAAAACAGAGAATAGAATAGTCCTGCTGAATTATCAAGTGCCTATGCAAAACTGACCTCAGCTTCTCCTGCCTACCACAGCACAGAAGTCTAAGTTAAACCTAGACCTCCTGACATGGTCCCCTCCCCTGAGCTCCCTTACCAGTGTACTTCCAGGTCACATCCTCTAAAAGCAGGTTGCTGTTCTCAGGCATGTGCTTCTTGAGCCAAGCCCAGCAGTGGACCTGCTGGTCAGTAGGGGAAATCATGAAGAAACTAGAAAGCAAAGCCCAAAAAAAAAAATCAAACCAGGTGGCAAAGAATGTTTGATGAAGTTAGCAAGGAATTCTGCCCCTCTCTATTCTCCAGGCCAGTGCAGAAAACGACACTAATCTATGTACAAAAGTCTTCTAGTGTGACAAGAGCCAGAAGCAGCTTGAGGCTGAATGCGACCTAAGGAGAGCCACAGAAAAGGCTGGCCTGTGTGCAGAAGTCACAAATTACACAGGGTCTGGCTGACAGACTGCAAATTTCCACAAGATAGGTAGACTTCTCAAATTAAGAACTGCCAATAATTTATTTCTGTGATTTCTTCTTAGACTCAGTTTCCAAAGAGCAAACTGTTCAAAAAGCAGGGCTTATGTGAAAAGGTAAGTGACTGGCCTTGCCCAGCATCACCCAGTCTGAAAGAGTCACCCACAGGAAAGACTTGAAATTATGTCCCCCTGACTCCAAGGCCTACTTTCTATCCTATGTGTCAGGCTGCGCCATTCTCAGCCATGCTCCTGCACCACCATAAGGGGAGGGGGAGGAGCTGGGGGAATGGGGGCTCCCCAGGCAGGAGGCAGGGGAAGCCACCCCCCCATCCCGCTCTGTTCACCTGCTTCTGCTAAGCCGAGCTATGCTGCAGTCATTTTCATAGCCACCGCCCTCATTGAGCATGCCTGTGTGCACAATGTGGCCCACGGGCACATCCAGGTCATTGGAGAAGAGGTACTGAAGAAGTTCAAAGTCTTCTGCCTCAGGGGACTGCAGGGTTTGAGGAGGAAAAGGGAGTTAGCACAATAGCTTCAGGCCAGCGAGCTCTCCTGAAGAGGAAGCAGATGTGTGGAGAAAACTCAAGAGTGCCACTATCAAAGGTGCAGGCTTGGCAGCACTAAGCCTGTCCATCCTCTCCACTCACACCCCCTCACCCCCCATGCCCCCCTGATCCGAATGACCTCCCCAAAAAGGACTTCAGCAATAGCTTCCTCCTTATGGGTTCCTCTGCCTCACGTCTCTCTCCTCTCCACATGCAGGTCTAACCATGTCACCCCACCTCTCCAACACCTCTGGGGCTCCCCTTCCGTCCAGGATGAACGCTGAAATCCTGCCTGACACCCAGAGCCCACGGCCACATGACCTCCTCCCACCTGCGCCGGCCCCCACAGGCTCCATGATCCGCCTACTTGGGCTGACGGTCCTCCTGCCCCCAGGACACTCCTCCATCTCCTGACTCTGTCCTTACACCTCCTGTGCCTCTTCACCTCTGCCTCCTGGCTTCCCCGCCCTCTTCAAGCCTCAGCTCACAACCCAGCACCGCCCCCACCACATAGTATGTATGTAGTTATTTGCTTGCCCTGTCTCCCATTAGACTGTGAGCTCCCCGAGTTGTCCTTCTTTGGATCCCTGGGCCTTAGCCCAGGGCCTGGTACAAAGTAAATGCCTAATTGATGCTTGTTGAATTGACATCAGGAAGATAAGACAAAATTAAAATCCTGATTATATCTCTTACAAGCATGACATAGAAAAGGTAACAGTTAATTCTGATTAGGCATGGATATTCCTGAAAAAAATTAGATCAAAAAATGTGAGAGGAATTCAGGAAAATCCTAAAAAACAAAGACTAAAAAAATCCAATTATATTACATTCCTCCTACAGAGACAAAGTACTGGTATCAGATAAAGCTGTTCTGACAGTCAGGAAAGGTTCTGTAACCTGTCATTTGGGCTTCCAAATACTTACAATTATTTCAAATTTAGTAAAAGAGGACATGTCAATGACACAGACAGCCTCTTTACAGCATTTGACTTCGGACTCCACGATGTCAAACCAGTCTGGCTTATAGAATGTCTTGCTCTGTTCCAATGCCAGTAGATCTAAAGAAGAGAAATGACAGAATTTAAAAAGAAAAGAGAGAGGATTTATAGAAGGGGCTCGCTATGTATCCCAGTGAGTAAATCAAGAGTAGACTGTCCACCTTTCCTGTTAAATATAAGAGGCAGCATGACACACAGGATAGAAAGTAGGTCTTGGAGTCAGGAAGACATAGGTTCAAGCCTGTCTTCTGACACAGACTGGGTGACAGTGGGCAAGGCAGGCCACTTGCTCTTTCTACTACTTCCCAGGCCATGAGCTAAGATTAAGTGGCAAATCCACTGCTGCTCTGCATTACTACAAGGGATTTTCTAAACCCCTGAAATCACAGATCCGAACCAAAATAATATAGCACTTTATGGTTACAAAGTACTTTTGTGTACTTTAAATCACTTCTTGAATTATCTTACTGGAGCTTCACAATTACTCTGTGAAGGAATGAAAATTATTTTCCCATTTCACAGACAAGGAAACAGGTTTACAGAGATCAGATGATTTGCCCAAGGTGAATCAGGAACTAGAACCAAGGCCTCCTGGCCTCCAAAATACAGTGTTCTTTCTTCCATTAAAAGAAAAGCTGCCTCTCGTACCTCACGACGTATGTTTTTTCTCAGGTTTTCAGATCAGAAACTAAAATGAGATCTTGCCTTTGTCAGGTGGGACAAAATACTTAGGCCTCTCAAAGCCATGTTTCTCCATCCATCTGGCTCCCTGTGCGTCCAAGCGGTCATAAAGGGGAGATGTACGCAGCTGCCGACCAGTCAGGAAGTCCCACCTCGGGACCTTAAGATCATAGAGCAGGGCTGAAATGAACAGAAAAGGAGATGACAAAGCTCACAAAAGCAAGAAGAGCTTTAGTCAGTGAGAGACAACAGGTGAAAGGTTTTTAAAGGCTGGCTGGAATATGGAGGACGGGGACTGTCCCTCGATCTTTCCCAGTGCCTGGGACAGAAGAGTACATTCTTGCAAATGACAGCAGTGGGGACTCTTCTCAGGACAGACTGGGTGACATGGTACAAAGTTAGAACTCTCACACTGAATGGCACTCAAAGGTCTTATTGTGCATGTGTCCTGGGCACTAAAACCAAGAGCAAATTAAATTAAGAGCTTCAGTCACATTCGATTCTGAACATAAATATTCATAGATTATTTAGGAACAGTTTAGCTAAGTCTGGGCATGGATTCCATCAGAGTGAGCAATAATCTGAAGAGAGTCAGAAGGTAGGAATGTGTTAGAAGCTGTTTTCTATCTTATTGCTATGTAACAAATAATCAGGACTCTCATTAATGAAGATTAGGGTTTTAAGAATAATTTTGTGAATCTAGTATCTAGGAAAGACAAGTCCAAAATTCCAAGGAAAAAAGCAAGAAAGTAAGAAAATATTCACTAAGCAACATGTGATCTCTTTCAGGTGAAACCAACACGGACACTGCTGAGGACCTACACAGTAGCCACCACTTTCACTGACATCTGAAGGAAAAGGATCTTTGGGGGAGAAACGGAGAAGGCTTTCCTTCTCCTCCTCCACAGTGAACCTCCTGAGGATGAAGCGGGTGAACTTAAAATACACCAAGGAAAAGGATATATCATATCCAGTAGGATTAGCATATAAACAACTTCCATAGCATATAAACACAGGACTAAAACAGTCAAACATCTGAGATCATACCAGGAGCAGCAATTAGGTAAGTGAAGAAAAAGTGTTCCTTTGGAACCAGCAGGTGATGCTGGAGTAAGAAAAAGGCTCACTCACGCATCACTTCCATGACTCGGTGGCGGAGGAAGGTACGGCTGCTCTGCAGAGCTCCAAATCGCTTCAAGTCCAAATCCCACACATTTTCTGAAGGGTAACCATGAACCATCCATTCAGCAAGGTACCTATTTTGAGACACAAAGGAGGGGCAGCTAGGTGGCACAGTGGATAGAGCTCTGACCCTGGAGTCAGGAGGACCTGAGTTCAAATCCTGCCTTAGACACATAACACTTACTAGCTGTGCGATTCTGGGAAAGGTAACCCCAATTGCCTAAACAAAAAAAAAAAAGTCAGACTTTTGGGGCAGGTAGGTGGCGCAGTGGGTAGAGCACCGGCCCTGAAGACAGGAGGATCTGAGTTTAAATCCAGCTTTAGACCAAACACTTAAAACTTACTAGCTGTGTGACCCTGGGCAAGTCACTTAACACCAAACTGCCTAAAAATTAAAAAAAAAAAAAAGCAAGAGAGAGACACAAAGGAACAGGAAGCTCTTGTTTCCAACACTCTAAGCAGTGGTCTCTTACTATCAATACAACATTCTTGAGTGCACATGCCATAAAGTACAGAGCTATTTGTAAGTGATCTACCTGTACTACAGTACTAATAATTATAAACATTACAAGATTCAGAGAAGCAGCCTGGTGAGGTGGGGAGAGAGCAGGCGTCCAAGTCTGAAAGACCTGTTTCCAAGTCCTACTTCAATTCGTGACTGGAGGGGCATGGGGGATGGACACTAGAAAAAACACTCCCCACTCAGAGTTCTAAGACTGTGGGTTGCAAAGAAGATGCCAACATGCAGGGGCATGGGAAGTTCAGTCATGTACAATTTTTCTGTACCAAGGAATCACAGATCTAGTCTCCATCCACATGATAAAACTTACATTAAAAAATAGAATTTAGGGGCAGCTAGGTGGCACTGTGGATAGAGCTCTGGCCTTGGAGTCAAGCAGACCTGAGTTCAAATCCGGCCTCAGACACTTGACACTTACTAGCTGTGTGACCACAGTCACTTAAACCCAACTGCCTCACCAAAAGGCAAAAAAAAAGAATTTAAAGAAAAGGTAAAGAGGAAACATTTGCTTCTCAAGTTAACAAGGAGTTCCTGGAGTTTAGTGAGTATAGGAGTGACTCGGCCACACCTGAACTTTATGAAAATCCTTTGGCCCATGGAAGATGAGCTCAAAGGGGAGAGACTGGAAACAGAGAGGCCAATCAGGAGACTTGCAATAGCATAGGCAAAAGGTAATAAGGACCTAAAATCAAGAAGAGACTGTGCAGAGAAGAGGATACTGATGAGAAACAAGACCGAGAAGCTGCTTGGACATACGGGGTATGGGAAAGTGAAATTGGGTGACTGGAAGGACAGCTGTATCCTTAACAGGAAGGGTGGGAAAAGATAATGAGATCCCTACCACCTGTTCCTGCCCAGCCAGCAGCACAGGGCTGACCCTCTGAGGAGCACCTGAGAGAAAAGGGACTGTCCCAGCAGCCCCTGTACAGCTGCTGCTGGGGCACCTTGGTCGAGATCTGAGGTGCAAACCCCAGGCTCAGAGGGAGGGAAGTGGGGAGTATACACAGCAAAGCGAAGGGACAAAGACAGGTTTCAGGGAATAAAAAAGTAGGTGTGGTTGAACAGGCCAGCAGGGAGAGTAGGATATGACTTATCTTCCCACACTTCAATTGGTTGATCATGTACCTACCACCTGGGGTCTAAAGGTTCATTTCTGGCTATGTCACAGACTTCATGTGCTCTTAGCTAATTTACTTAACTTCTCTGGGGAAACATCAGTCTAAAGGTGCTACTTGCAGCTCTGTTACCTGTCTCAGTACCACTGCAAGGACTGACGACGTGCTCTGTGAGACAGAGCGGGGCACTATGGGAGTGTCAGATATCACGGGTGACTAAAAGTAATAAAAATATCATCATGTACATATCAGAATAGGTACTGTCCTTTAAAGCAGTCACCTTGGGAATTACATTACCACCTGATTCAAACTATATCTGGAAACGTCCAGAGACAATTCATGAGCCACACAAGAAAATGAACACTATGACCTTTTCAAGCCAAAACTTACTTTGACCTTAAGTGAAATCCTCCATTTGACTATGCTCCACCTCTTACCAGGCTTGGCACTAAATCACTACCCTTTAATGCAAGTTGATGCTTACAGAAGAGTTCCTGAAATACTTCAGGCTTTGTTAGATGAAGCAGCTAGCCTCCTTAGGTTATTTCTTTGAAAGGGACAACATGCCACTGAATGTGCTAGTTCTGGTATGTTTATTTGAAAAACAAAACCAAAGACAGTCCCGAGACTTAAGTGCCACCCCCAGCATCACAAGAGATTCCATAAGGGGATAAAACAGTAAGTGGAAGCAGTCAGGGTGAGCTCTGCAATTGTGCCCCTAGTTACTTACTTGCCTGCTCCTCCTGCAAATGAAGTTCCAGCAGAGTTCATTCCAGCTAGTACAAAGTAGCCCTGCACAGTCGGAGACTCCCCCATGATGCACCTCATGTCGGGCGTAAAGGACTCAGGGCAGTTCACCAACTTCATAATTTCTAGAGCTTCCAAGGTTGGCATCCTGCGCAGTAGGGAGCTCAGCAGAGGCTCTGAACAGAAAAAAATTTTAAAAATTAAAAACTGAAAAATAATATATATATATATATATATTATATATATATAATCCTCACCTGTAAAGAAAAGACTTTTAACCCCCCCATCTTTTCATTCTCCGCTCCTTTCATAGAATCTATTTTTTTTTTAAAAGCCTTTAAAAGGAAAATCTTACAATAAAAAAAAATCACAGAAGAGGATCTGTGAGATTTGAAATAAAATGTCTTGGAAAATTTCTGCACAGTGATATATAGTTACTGTGCAGAAAAGAAAATGTCATCTAAAAATTCTACAGAGCAAAGAGGCTATCAATTATCCTATTTACATAATGAAAAAAATTGAGAGATGGGATCACAAAAAGGTTTTTAAAAATTCTTCAAAGGGATCTCACACAATGAGGGGCAATGAATTCCTAAGATGTTTATGAGCAGATGCAAACATTACATTTAATTTAAAAAATAAACAGAAAGACCAACAGTCCAAAAGCTACTTTCCAATGATTTCTTGAATTTTATACGGAGTCCTGCTCACAGAAAGTCTTCCTCTCCTTCCAGTAATGTAAAAAGAGCAGAATGAGAAGTCACAAGAACATGTTACGTTACATGATGCAGCCACCACCAAAGTCTGAAGAGCCACCCTGAGACCCAAGACCCTGCCTGGCAGCCTTGAAGAAATGAAGAGAAAGAACACGAAGACAGCTGGATCTGCCGGGTGGCTACCTGTGTAGCTCAAAAGCAAAATATTCAAAACACAGTCTAACAATGTTTAAAAAAAGGAAAAAAGGTGGATCGGCCTAGGTTCTAGCTCGGTTGTCATTAGTTACATCTTTGGACAACCCACAACTTCCTTAAGCCTCGTTTGGCTCATCTGTAGAGGGGGATAAATGATTGCCCAACCTACATCAGAGCTGTGAGGATCCGACAGGATAACGCCTGTGATGCACAGATGTGAGGCAGCATTACCCTGGCTCTAGTCACATACCAAAATGATCCCAATCTTCATGCAGATTCTGAATGTCTAGCTGGTTCTTGCCCTCAGTAAAGATGGGCTTAGGGTTCTTCTCAAAGCCACCAGACAGGATACCGCCTTGCCAATTCCGAACGTAGATCCTTCCATCTGCATCCACAATAGCTATAGAAAAGAGGTGACAACAAAGCAATGGGGAGAAGGAGGAGAGAATCTCCATTTTAAATTAAGACAATTTTTCTAAAAGGACAAAGAAGAGAAAGAATTAACAAAGCAGGACTTGGGAACCAACAAAAGAGATTCATTCATTAATGAATTTGCCAAAGTCACCCGGGTCAGAATCCATGAGGGACACAGGCAATCTAGCTTAGACACACTTGTGATGTATTTTGGGGTTGGGGCTGGGGTCGGGGATGGGGTAGAAGTTGGTCAGCCACCTCCAAGTGGACTTCATTTCCAAAGGCAGTGGTGAATGTTTCTCCTGTTACTACTGCTAACCCCCAACACTCAATGCAATAAGCACAGAGCCTTCGTGAGTGCTTATAGCTCAAGAACTTCACTGCCATTGTATCAACTGAAAGTCAGGCAGAAAGAAGGGGCTATGGATCCTGTTTGGGGGTGACGGCCCCCAAGATGTCAATACCCTCCCCTCTGACACAAGGCTCATACACAGAGAATCTAAGCTACGTATATTTCTTATTTTGTCTCAATTACTCTTAGGGATCACATCGCCGTGGCAAAAACCAGAGTTCTTTCCGGGATGGGAAGACAGTTTAGAAGAAGAATTTTCTTGTAAAAGAATGGTGGTTTAGGTGGAATAATGTCTTGGCTATCCTTTAATAAATATTCACCTTAAAGAAATAAGTTGGAATTGGGTTTACCTCCCTATAATATCCTTGGGGGGAAAAAAAACTCCTTGGGGAAAGTAAGTTCTGTCCTCAGGATAAAGATTTCCCTTTCAGAAGAAAGAATATTGTAAATGAGTAAGATTTGTTTTAAAAAGTACAAGTCCTCACTTGGTGTGCTGCTCTGCAGTGGGGTCTCCAGGGGACGAGTCAGAAGGTAGAAGTGTTCACAGGCATGTAACGGGATACTAACCGGTTCTTCGTTGGACAGACCCAGCTCGTAAGCCCACTACAAATGGACAGATTTATTTGTGGGTGGGAAGGGGAGAAAAAAATACAAAGGAGCAAGTTAAGTCTCTTGAAAACCTTAATTTCAAGCGACTTTTGTGCTCTTCTACAATGTCAGATATGGGAAGCCAGTTTCAGCCTGCATTAGTCCATATAGGAAATGTCACTGTATTGTTTACATTGAAGAGATGAGTTCAATTTTGGAACAAAGACAGATAAAGATTTATCTCAGTGCTCAGAGGGTGCCTAAACTCTTGGGGACAAAAATGAGTTCTTAATAGCAAAATAAGACATCATCTCACCTACAGACCTCAAAATGACAGTGGCTAAATTAACTTCAAACAGCAAAATGAATTTCCCAGCTCACCTTAAGATTACTGAACAGTATAAAAGGAAAACAATTTTCCTTAGCACAGTCTCCTTACTATTCGCAAACTGAATCCCTGAATTCCATGCCCCTGACCTAGTGAAATAAGTCAGCAACTTAACTGAAGTTGACGAAAACAGACGCCCAACGTAACAACCAGACCCAGGAGTGGCTGGCCATATGCTGACATTTCTGATTGTGGGGACCTCATTCAGTGAAGTACAGAAGAAGGTCAAGTCTAGAGGTGCCTCTCTTTCAGAGACAAGGGATTTCTAATCCCTTCAGTTCCAGGTTTTTCCTCTGGTCAAAAACAGAGAAAATCACTTGGCTTTCTTACAATTACTTAAAAACATAATCATCCACTTCTCTAGATGATTAAGTATCTGGAGTCCTGAATACTCAAACTCAACAAATATAAGAGGTTAAATAAGGCAAGATCAAGACACAACATTGTTTCTAACCTGACCAGCACAGCTGACAAAATATTGACATTCAATGCATCCTCTATCCGTTTCTACTCCAGTTACACGACCCTTTTTGACTTTCACATGAATAACACTTGTCCGGTCACGGATCTGAACACCTGTGCCAAAGTAAAAGAAGTGAGTTAACATATCGCCCTAGGTTTGTGAACTAGAGAGGATACAAAACATCTTGAGTCTGTGTGCCAATCACTTTCTCTCTTTAAGAGAGTAGGCCAGATACTCAATAATCTACAAAAATTAGAAACGAAAAGCTAACCTTTGGCATTTAATTTTCAGATACAATATTTAAATGACATTCTACCAATTTAATACGTGGCACACCCACTTCACTGATAGCATGTGAAAGGACCGTTCCTAACCATGAAAATGCCAGGTTCTCTCAAAGAATTACTCGTCCCCAAATACAATCATTTCTAGAGGTACAGATATGAGAACCAGGCCCAAGGGCCAGTCTACCTTCCCACCAGCCCTTGCCTCGGTCACCTTCACTCCCTACAACTTTTTAAACCTGTTGATTAAATGTCTAAGGTGTTTGAGCCTGGAGCTTTGAGAGCTTCGAGAAACTCCTTGTAGGCCTGCAGTATATGAGCAGGCACAGACAGCAATTCTCTGGGATAGTAAGGAGAAAAGTGGATATTTTAAAGTGTCTGTTACTGTTAATGAACTCTAATACTAGGGCATTTAAAAATGGTAACTGACTATCCCAAATGGAAAACGATCTTTCCAAAGTTGGGCTTGTTTCTTCATGGGTTAAAAAAAAAAAAAGCACAACAACCTCTATTAGTAGGGACAACTTCAGACAGCACCTTACTTTCTCAATTTGAATTTTTGGTTCGAACCCCACCAACAACCAAACAAGTTTCTCACCATTTTGACAGGCAGCACTGGCCAATGCAAGAGCCACATCAGCCGCTGACACCACTGCATCCTCAGGCACGTGCATGGCCCCCACCAGGTCATGGATGCTAATGAGTGGGGACAGCTCAGCCACTCTCTTTGGGGAAATGATCTCAGAAGGGATGCCCATTACACTGTCACAGAAAACAGAGAGGCAAGGAGCTTACCAGCAGCTCTGCAAAAAACTACCCACCGGCTAGAAAGACTCCTCTCAGCCTTGAACATACCTCAGTCTCGAGTTGATACGCTTCAAGGAGATCAGTCGGTCCTGAGTCTGAGCCAGAAAGATTGAGCCTGTCCTTATGTAACCTGTATGAAAAACCAAGTCGGACCAGAGAAAGTTCTCTAACAGACTTCACTGGAGGAATTAATGGAAATCCTTCCAACAGACAGGCAAATCTCATTTCCCACAGAAACCACTTTTAATTAACCCAATACTTGTTTTTCAATGAAATATAATTGGAAGAAATCTAGTCAACTAAAACTAGAGCCCCACATCTTCATAGCCTCCTCCTAAAGAATCTCACCGAAAAATAAGATGTACAGAAAAATAAGAAAAAAGGGATATAGAAATCTATCCTGCTCTACAGGAAAATAGAAGGGGAAGGGGATAGGAGAAGGAGGGGGTGTTGACAGAAGGCAGCGCAGATTGGGGGAAAGGGTATTCAGAATTCACGTCTTCTTGTGGTGGGGGGAGGAGAGAGATGGGGGGAAAATGTGGAACTCAAAATCTTGTGGAAGTGAATGTTGAAAACTAAAAATAAATTAACTAATTTTTATAAATTATTAATTAAAAAATTTTCAAAAATAAACACTGTAAGAGTAGTATACTAGTAAGTAGTTAATAACTATTTAAACAAAAAAAACCACTCCTATAAATTTAATCTACATTACTAACATTTTCTTCATAACTTTCTTAAGTCTAGGCAATCAACAAAACAATAAATCAAGCCCAAATCTGTAGTGTTTGCCAATTTATGAGGTGTAAGTGCCAACTCTGAAAATTTGGTAATTAATTCTCAAGAGCCAGCATCAGTTGGCTCTAGCACACTCCTGCCCAAAACCCAGTTGAGAGAACTGGGATTTTAGAGATGGGAAAACAAATTTAAAATAAAGGCAAAGTACTAAACCAAATTGTTAATCTTGAAGGGCAATATGGAAGTAGACAATACAGATTTCAGTTTAAACAAAGCAAAGGACTCATCCAAAGAGATCAAACTACTTGGAATTATACCATACAGTAGAACTGTACTAACAGGCAATGTGGTGGTGATAAAAAGTCAGCCTTAGAGTCAAAAAGACCAGGATTCAAGTCTGGCCTCTGACACACAATGTCTTTGTTTGCCACTGCCCTCCACGGCATATGGGGTCTCAGCATCTGACTTGCAGCTGAAACCTTCTCTACGAGTTGTCTCTCCTTATCAGAGTAGGACCTCTGAGAGCACGGGCTGCCGTGCTTTTCTGTCTGTCTCCCCAGCCCTTGGCACAATGCCTGTCACAGAGTCAGTGCCTAATCAATGTTTTTCCATTCATTCATTCACTCACTCACTCCTTCATTCATTCCTTGAACCACTCCACGCCCCCAGACAAGCCTCTAACTCTCTAAGCTCCAGAACAACTGCTGATCTCATGGGTACAAAAAGTTTCCTCATATCATAGGTCTAGATAAAAAAAAAATTCCATTAAACCACAACTTATTAAGTTTAAAATACACCGTTTTAAGGGCAAAAATCCTGTCTCCTACACCTAAGAACTACACACTATGAAGGCCCAATTCAGAAAGGCCAGCCTCTAGATTATGCACGATGTCACAGGAAGGAAAGAAACAAGCATTTATATAGCATCACTAGATGCCAGGCACTGTGCTTAGCACTTGGTACAAATGCTATCTCAATGGATCCTCAACAATCCTGGGCAAGAGGTGCTGTGCTGCCCCATTTTACAGTGGAAGAAACCAAAGCAAACAGAGGTGAAGTGACTTGCCCAGGATTACACAGCTGGTAAGTCTCTGAGGCCAGGTTTGATCTCAGATCTTACTCTATTACTGGAACAGTCCAGTTAGAGCAGTGGATTTCTGCTGATCCATACAATCCTACTGAATCCTCCTAGTAATCAACAGCACACATCTATGAGACACTGGGCCAGGAGCTAAAGATGCAGCCTGTGACCAAGAACCAGAAGCTAAAGGGCGCCTACCAGAAGCAAACCTATATCTGGCCATGTTACTACAGTATGTTAATTAACTAAATAAATTAAACAAACCATCATCACAAGTAAGAAAGTAACTCCTAAATGAGCATCCTACAGATATTAGTACCCAAAGGGCAGCACATACTCTTCCTTCTCCCAATTTCTCTCAGAAATAAGGAAATCTGAAACCCCACTTGACATAGTAGAGGATGAATAGACAGAAATGACCCAGAGAATTTTTTTTAATTTCCTGGTCCAGCACAACCCTTGTCTGTACAAAGCTGGGTCAAACAGAATGCAGAGTAATGACGCTTGAGCGACACTCAGACCGAAAGATGTCACTGTCTTACCTGTCTGAATCCCTGTCTCTTGCTCTAACTGCTGATAGAGTTTGTTCGAATAATTGGCCATCTTCTGTTCTAAGGTAAAGTTCCTAGCCGAACTAACAATGCCAGCACAAAACCTGGTAGAGCCAGCAGCCAACCTGTAAGACAAATCACACACAGGAACTCACATACCTAACACGAACAGGAAAGGACATGAGACTGGTACCAAAGAGCAAAAGAATTGGACGATCAAAGAGAACGTATAATGCTACAAGCAGTCCATCCCTCCCTAACCCCTCCACTGCTCCCTTAACTTTATTTGATTTCCTGAAGACAATTTAGTGCCTGATCTCTGCTGAGCCCTGGGCACTTTTGAATTCATTATTATGAGCACCTAGAAAATATTCCAAATTTAAGAGAAAACACATGTTTTCTAAGCATCTGTGTTATGTGTCTGATGGATCATGTTCTTTCTTCAAAAACCAGAAAAAGGCATAAATCATTAGATGGCAAACGGCAAGCAATTTCTATACCTTCGTTTGAATATTACATCAACAACACAGGGAAAAATCACAGCTGTTATTGAGAAAGAAAAAGGAAACTGGGGAATACAAGCCACTTAGTGCAGTGTGGCAGTCACGTGTTATGCGGTGTGGTTCTTACCTGCCCTGTTCCAATAGAAGAATATCCTTCCATCCCAACTTGGAAAGGTGATAGGCTACAGATGTGCCTATAATTCCACCACCACAGATGACTACCTGGGCATGGGTGGGGAGTGAGACAGGAGGACTAGATTCTGAAACTGTAGAAATGCTGCGCCTTGACGGGGACCTGTTCGGCCATCTCTGACTGGCCCTCCGCCATGGAATATCACATAGCAACCGGAAAAACATGATGGCGTCTGTTTGTCAACTTTCTAGAAATGTGATCTTCACTCACCCAAGAGGAAGCAGGGCATAAGAATTCAACCTAGAGAAGGAAAAACTGGTGATGTTTAATTCAGTGCTGTGTACAGGATCAATCAGAAATATTTGTAATAAAACATCTGTTACACACCTAACCTTTTAGTTAAGAGATTTAAGACTTCCCTCACCTTTAAAATAGGGATACTACTTAAACACTCTCTACCTCACAGAGCTGCTGTGAGAAAAATATTTTGCAAATTGCTAAATAAAAGTGAGCTGTTATCACCATGAGGCACTACCCTACAAGGGAGATATGACTTACATGCTTTAAGCAGATAAGGTGTACATCTATGGAACCATAAAAGGATGTAACAGGCTATGAAATATACTAAATTGCACAAGACAGATAAGTAACCACAAAAAGAGAACAAAGAAGAAACAGATCAATAGGGGCTAGAGGAATCTGATAGGATGCATAGAAGTGGGACTTACCCTAAACACTAAACATAGCAGGCATTTCGAAAATGCTTCTTACTGAACTTGAAATCAGGAAGACCTGGGTAGTGCATCTTTGATACTTCAGAAGCCATGTGCCTCCAGGCAAGCCTCTTTGCCTCTCTGTCCTCAGCTGCTAAATATGGAGGAGGGAGGGGAACTGCTGGGCAAGATGCCCTTTAAAATTCCTTCCAGTTCTAAACTGATGAGCCTACAATACAAAGGCAGAGCAGGAATAAGCAGGATACATGTTGTTATTCAGTCATATCTAACTCTCCATGACCCCATTTGGGGTTTTCTTGGCAAAGATACTAGAGTGGGCTTGCCATTTCCTTCCCCAGCTTATTTTACTGATGAGGAACTGAGGCAAACAGGATTGACTTGCCCAGGGTCACATAGCTATTAAGCATCTGAGACTGGATTTGAACTGAAGGCTGAGTCTGACTCCAGGCCCAGCGCTCTGTGCGCTATGGCGACATCTAGCTGTCCATGACACATGTGCATAAAAGCAAAGAAACGGTCCTTGAGAGAGCAGAGGTTGTCTCATGGAGCAGTGAAAGATAAGGCTGAATAAATAAGGTCTCCCCAGGATTTGTCCCAGTCCCAGCAGGTGGAGGCATTTAATAACTGCTTCTATACTTGAACAGAGCAGAACCATGGTAGCCTCAAATTAGAGCAGCAGAGTTTAGTGGAAGGAGTCAAAGGAGCTGGGTCTGAATCACTACCTGGGTGACCCTAGGGAAGTCACTGGACCTCTCTGGGTCTCAGTTTCATCATCTCTAAAGTGATAGGGTTAGACCCATTCTACCTATAAAGGCCAGACAGAAATTTGGGCTTGCTGAAGTAAGTAGTGAGTAACCACTGACAGTTTCACAGAATTATGACATGATGAAAACAGTATTTTAAGGGCACAGTTAGCAGGCCATGAGGAAATGAGGGTCTGCATAAAGATAGTCAGAAAGAATAAGGCAGGTAAGTGGGCCTGGCCTCAGACGCTATCTAATTGTGAGACCCTGGGCAAGTTACTTTTTCTCATTTGTAAAATGTGCTGGAAAAAAAAAAATGACAAACTACACCAGTATCTTCGCCAAGAAAACCCCAAATGAAGTTACAAAGAGTCAGACATAACTAAAAATGACTCAACAACAAAAGTCAGAATGAAAATGAAGAAGAGAAAAACTGATTGTAAAGAAAGAATCCCCATGGAAAATAAACTCACCTGACATAAGAGACAAGGGAAGAAGAATTAAAGATGACTCCAAATATCTCAGCCCTGCAACCAGGAAAATAACTATGTAAACTGAGAATGGGTGTCAGTTTAGGAGGTATGAGAGATGAGTAGTGTCCTAGACACTGTGACTTTTAAGGCAATTAGACACACAAAGTAGAAATATTTTATAAGTAGATAACACAACTACAGCTTAGATGTAAGGAAGCTAGTATCGCAGAATTATTACCAGAGGCAACACGTGAAAGAGCATTTGTGGAAGGTACCATAAAGAAAAAGGCTAACAACTGAGTCTCAAAAAATGCTACCGGGAAGGAGGAAGAAAAGCAGAGACAAGAAATTTTTAAAAAAGAAATGAGGAAAACCAAGATAAAATAGTCAAGGTATGACATTAAATCATTCAAGAACACAACAGGCTGTAATAATCAATGCCAGCAAAAGGGTGCTGGTGGACAGATGCCAAGGGTACTCTCCACTGCCTGATCTCCTGCTGAGGGATCATCCCTCTCTAACCTAGGTCCCCCCAAGGTGAGGCTTGGCAAGGTTACTAAAAATCAAGGAGTCTCAAAAGAAAATGGGTCCTTCTCCAAAGTAGAGAGAAAACAGCAGGGAAGAGGATGTCAGAAGACAATGAGAGGAGCATCAGATAAGAGACTGTGGCCCCTCAGAAGAAAGGAAAGAAGGTACTACCAGCCAACAAGGCCATTGTTGCCACACCAACAAGAGAACTGACGACCAGCAAGAAGGGAACAGCTTCCCCGTAAGAAAAGAGCCCATCCCCAAGGCAAAGAAAGTCCAACCCCAAGCAAAGTCACTGTCACAAAGTAGTGGGGGAAAGACAGGCTAAAACTGCAGCCATTCCAATGGAGCCAAAATTCCAAGAATGCCAAGAATGAAGACAATGTAACAGGAGAGGAGGGGGGTGAAGAACTTGAGTCATCCAAAATGATGAAAACATGCGCAATTCCAGCCAAACAAGACTTTGAGTATGAGGAAAAGGATGAGGAATGCTCTGAAGGGAAAGCAATGGACACAACACCTGCCAAAGGGAAGATAAGATGGTTCCTGTGACAGCTAAGGCATCACAGGATGAGGAGAACAAGGACAGAGATGAGCAAAGAGGAAGAGGAAGAAGTCCTCTGCCAAAGAAGCAGCTGGAAAAAGGAAATTGGGAAACAGCCTCCTAAGCCAAGAAACAGAAACTGGAAGTTGAAACATCTGTGGTTTTTAATCTCTTGGTTAAAAACCTGATTTTCAACAAAAGTTCTTCTGACTCCTTTGCAAAACATGATCTCAAAGATGTGCATGCCCGAGGTGTCACATGCAGCAAGTTTGGTGATGAGGAAGATAAATCTGATGAAGGCCTGGAAAAAGCTCTGTTCTCAGTGGCTCAAAAATTCGTAACTGAAATTAAACTAGAAAGAGCAAAGGAAATAAAAAAAGATCATAAATGCAAAGACAGTCTTTACCAAGAGCCTTATAAAAGTATAAAGTAGTATTATAAAACTACTCATGAGAAACTAAAGGAATGTTTGAAAATGCTATTGAATTCAGTCAGTCCCAAGGATGAGACCCCAAAAGAATGGCCTACCTAGAATTTTAAGACAGAAGCACAAATGGACAAAATCTTGAAAGAACAAGGAACAGAGACTGATAATTAAGCCATTATTCTGAACTAAAAAAAAAAGTCAAGGCGAAAGAAATTCTAGAGATAGAATAATTCCTGGAGTGAGAATAACAAATCAGCAAGAAACTCAAAGACAGTTATAATGAATAACTTCACCTATAGAACCACTGGAAAAAGTCTACAGGAGTGTTTGAAAAAAATACCATGCTCAAAATAACCCAGGCAGACATAAAAGGTAAGTATTCCCTGAATTACACTCAACTGAAGCAGCAAAAGCAGCTTTGAATTTGTGTAACAAAAAGGAAACTGAACACAATCAGGTTGGAATTGAAAGGCCAGAAAACAACTAATGCTCAGAGCCGGTCATACACCATTTTGTTAGTCAAAGTGTAGTACCCTTCTTAGAAAAATGTAGATGACACTTCAAGGGAGAGACCATGCTGGTTTTGGCTAGATGGATGTTTCATATCAACTTTCTGAGGAGGAAAATATTTTTTTTTTTCTTCAGTCGCTAGTCTTGGGGCCACTTAAAAGAATCTAAACTGTAAACATTAAAAGAATCTAAACTGTAAACAAACAAAAAGTCCAATCAATCAGCTATTTACGCACCAGACAAAAAAAGGAAAAGGGAAAAAAAAGTTCTTTCACTCAAGACATTTACATTCTAAATAAAGCACTAAGCTGCAAGAGGTAGCTAACCATTCCAAGTAAACAACGAACTTAAGTAAATTGCACACAATGGGACCGAAGAACTCAATGAGGGCTAGAATAAAAGGGTAGATAGAGAAGCAACTAGTGGACAGAACTCTGGTCTTCAAGTCAGGGGGAGCTGAGTTCAAATCCAGATTCAGACACTTGACACTTACTAGCCCTGGGCAAGTCACTTATCCCGACTGCCTCACAAAAAGGTTAAAAAAAAAAAAGTAGAATAAAAGAGTAGGCTTCCAGGACTCAAACATCTGATTATTCAAAATTCCAAGAGTGAAGCTTAGAGATGGGAGCAAAGCCTACGTAGACATTGCATCAGGTGCTGAGAAGAAAATCTGGCATCAAAAGGAAAAGAGCACAGGAGGCAGGAACAAAACAAAATCAACTTAAAATTTCTGGTTGTTTTTGAAGACGGGGGAAAAACTATACGAGTTTAGAGATGAAAAGGACGCCGCGAACGGAAAAGCCAACGCCGTCCCAGCTTTTTTTTTTTTTTTAAACTGATTCAAGTCCACTTTATTTCACATAAAGAGACCATGGGCACATAAGACAAAGCTTCAAAGCCTTAGAAATGCTCAGGTGTTAAGAGCCACACAGACTGGGGTTGGGAGCGTAGGTGCAACTGGATGATTTAACACAAAGGAGGAGAAACTGATTTTTAAAATAGACATATATGCAAATGACATTTATACACTCATGTAGCTATCTTTTACGCATGCGCACACATATGGAAATCGCCAGCCACAATGAAACCCGGGGAAGGAAGGCCAAGCAAGCGGCCCGCGTCGGCACGGGCTGGGGAGGGAAGGATGGAGGCAGAGGCCGCGCTCCTCGGGCCCTGCGGCGTCCCTCGGGACAGGAAGGCCTTGGGCAGCAGCCGGGAGGCCCGACACCACGGCCACCCTCTGGAGGGCGCAGAACGCCCGGCCCGGCGCCGCTACCGGAAGCGGAAGCCCGAGAAGCAATTTTTAACGCTGTTTGGGAAAGGCTTGGAGGAAGCCCCCCCCCGCCAGGGTCTGGGCCCGGGCTCCTCCGGGTCATCGGCGGAGAAGACCAGGCCACCCTAACCGCGGTCAAAACGAGCGAAGCACGAAACGCGACAGGGTGTCAGGGGCTCCCCCGGCCTGCAGTGCAAACAGGAAGACGGGAGGCAAGCTGGGGGCGGGGAACTTGACCTCGAGCCGGCCGCGGGGGAGGAGCAGGAGCGCGGGGCGGGGCCCGGCCAAGGGCGCGGGCGGGGGGTGGAGTCGTTGGGGGCAGGGAGCCCCGAGGGAAGGAGACGGAAGAGGGAGGCCCGCGGCCCCGCCTTACCTCACGGCCCCGCCGCGGGCTCCGCGCCTTACCACGCCCCTCCGAGGAGCGTGCAGCAGGCGGCGGCGGGAGGCCTCCGGAGTGTGGGGAAGGCGGGAAGGAAGCGGAATGGGGGGCGAGGAGACGAGGAGCCCAGGCTCCCGACCTTTCGCGCTTTACGGGCCCTGCAGCAAGGGTACGACGGCGGGCGTCCCGTGCGCGTGTCGTCACGCCGCCGGCCCCGCCCAGCCGCTCCACGTGGTATTGTTTGGGTTCCGGAGCGGGATCCCACGTGCTACGCCGCCGGGCTTCGGGTCTTTCCCCTTCCCTCACCAACTGGATGTCTTCAGCGACCCC